AGTTGCAATAAGTGTCTGCAATTGAGAGGGCGCAATACGATTTTGGAAATATATTTCAACTTGCTCGTGCTGCACTAGCAATCTGCAATTCGGCTTTCGGAAGACACTTTATATGCAAGGTATGACCGCTTTCTGAAACTTCCTAATTTGACAGCCTTTTAGAAGTATATTGCATTGCTATACGTGTAAGCAAATTTAAAGCAATTTCTTGAACGTATATCGCAAAGTAAGCAAAAAAAATTTTAATGCTCAATTTAATTGTGCCTTCAAAACATTTTTGTCTACGAAAAGCTTTATCAGATTAACAAAATTACAATTTTGGTCCGATTGGCTCTAAACGGCAACGCTGAATACGAGAACAATTTCAGAGCCCCCCTTTAAAGGCCCTGCACACGCATTGATTTATCGGCCAACCTGTTGACCAACTTACTTAATGAAATTGCCTACAAAAGCACCAACCGGTTGGACAACTTCATTTGAGAAATGGCGTTTTCGTTTCTACAAAAAAAGTTCCTTTCCATTGCCCGGCTATTAATATTTGTGCTTAGAGGGCAATTAGGAAGGTATCATTTTTCGGTAGAAACGAAAACGTCATAAGAGTTTTTGAACACAACAGCAAATGCTTCTAATTTTTATGTATTTGTTATTGCTTATGCCCAATAAATATTTGGGTTGGAGATCAAATTGAGATCCAATAAATATTCCATTTCCATTTGATTTTCAAATGTACCTCAATTGGAGAACGAACCCATTCTCCAAAAAAATGGCACATTTTTTGTATGGAAAGTAATCTGTGTTCTCCACTTGAGAAATGTTGGGATATCAAATTGAATTCAAACTTTATTCAACTTTTAGTCAAACCTTTGGAAAAATGTTGGATCTCCACTTGAGAAACAAGAATTTCTCAAAGGTTGGAAAAAAGTTTTAAAAATGTATTGGGTGCCCCTGTTTTCACGAATTATACGCATATTAAGTAGCAAAACGAACCAAAAAAAAAAAAACATATTAACGTTAATGCGCCTTGAAAAAAAATGAAAATAGCATTTTGGGTTGCCAAATTGTCTACACACAGAGCAACAAGTTGACCAATCTTCCTTAAAAATCAAAAATTTTGGATTTTTCTCCAACCTGACGAAGGTTTGCCAACTTACCTACACGCGGCATATTTACCTCCGTTTTCTCCGTTGAAACACAATGCCGGCGAATGGCGATTTTTTCGCAGCGAATGTTCTCGCGAAACCAAAGCAAACGGTGAAGTTCTCTGGACGACTGTTCGCGACGACAGATTGAGATCTGTGCCGCGGTCAGCGACAACGGCAAAAAGACCATGGTGATCAATATTGTAATTTTCGTTAAAATGTAAAATAATATACATTATATTTTCTTTCAGAGACTAATACTAGTAGATATGTAGTTATATTTAACGATTGTTTCTATATTTTGAGCTTATTCTTGCTGTTCCCTATTCGTTGTATAAGCTTCCTTCTTGAAATATGGTCACAACTTTCTGAATTAAACAACACTCTGTATGGGCTTCAGTATAAAGCTTTGGTTTCCTCGAAAATCGATGCCGTAATATTACGACCGTATCATACCAAACGCTATTCTCAACGTAACGTAGCTTTGTGCTTTTATGTTGTATAGGCATTCATTGATTTTTCGAAGTTTATAAGGACTCCATCCTCTTCGGCCGTCCATGCATTTTCCACGTTATTATTCAAAATTGATAAAAATTTGTATTATATACTTTTATTTTGGACTGAAGAGTTGAAAACAAATTTTCTAATACACCGCTACAACTATGACGTTGCCAAAAAACGTTGTAAATAGTTCTAAACCGTCTCTGTTGCCGTCAGAAATATTACGGTGCCGTCATATTACATTACGGTGTGTATAGCCGTCATCTTACCGCAGAACTCCACAGGCAAACACCGATGACCTACCAACTGTCATTTTGACGAGCAATATGATTGCAAGTTTTTGTGTGTGGGCACTTTGATGTCTTGAAATAAGCATTTGCCGCATGGCGCCACCAGATAACATACTCTCAATTTCGGCGTTTAAAAATATATTAATCTTTGAAAAACTTGCTGAATAATTTCCTAAAACGTAATCATAAATAATCCAATAGGGAACAGATTTTTATTTTGATTTAATATCGAAATTTCATCGATGTTATCACCAGCATGCTGTCAAACTATCAAATTGCCTGCAATAGATGTCAAGCAATAAGCACTGACATATATTGCAGCTCATTAGAAATAGGCGGTCTCCATTGGAAATATATTTTGTGACATGGTTACCACGACATCAGTGTTTTCCTGTGGAGACAGGGCCTTAGTTGGCATCTGGTAATTTTTACATGGCAACGTTTTTAGCAACGCAGTTACGACCGTTACTTGACGTTACCGCTTTCGAGGAAACCAAAGCTTAGACGAATTAGCTGGGCGAAAGTTGGACGTCGGCATCACCGGCTTGTTGTCAGCGGTCTAGCTGTTGGCAAACTGGTTGGTCGATAAATCAATGCGTGTGTAGGGCCTTTTAAAAAATTTAATACGAATAATATGCAAATACAAATAGTGAAGGCAGTGATGGAAAAGTAGGCACATACAGTTGCAGACGTATCCATCTAGGAGTTTTTTGAGTGCACTCGAACACATTTCTTCTCCATCAGACATCGTCTACGTTGCTATGTTATATGAGCACACAAGAATGACAAGAGGTTTCTTAAGGTTGATTTCTATTCGTTTACAAGCCCCCTGCTATGCCTAAATAAGCACCAGCGGACAAGAGTTAAGCTTCCTCATGAACGAAAGACACAAGATCACGCGGGAAGGAAAGAACGAAAAAAGTTATTTTCTAGCTGCCGAAATCTCGACGCCATCTTTGTTGTAAGAAGTAAACAACGAAGAGAACGGAGAAAACCGCGAAATTGTTGAACGCATGAAAAATCATTTGTATTATGCAAATTCTTCTATAAATCGTGCCGTTGTGTTAAATTATTCTTTATCTTATGTGTACTCACGTTGTCACAAGCGAAAATGAAGAAAATTGCAGTAAAAAGCCACCATCAAATTGTAAACAACGAAGAAATGTAAACAAACGGCTAATGTCAAAATCGTTCAACTTTTTTCCTAAATGCGATTCTAACGGGCTAGTCTCCTGCCCGCGTGATTTTGTCTTTTTGGTTCATGAAGCTTCCTTCGCTCTCTGACTGACAGTAGGTTGGCTCCTAAGTAAACAAAATCCTTTAAGGCGGATTCATCGTCCTAGGTCAGAACTTTTCTTCCATGAGTTTGTTGATGTGTTCTTCCATGGTGTAATAATAACTAGGTGTTGTCAGTAACTTAACCTCACTTTTTCGGCAGGTCTATTCCGGTCACGCATTTTAAAGTATTAGAAAAGGTACTAATTATTTACTACTTTTAATCCGTTGGTGCATACTATTCAAATTAAATGTAGCAAAATGTATAAAATTACAAGCTTATAAGCCTTAATATATGTTTGTATCGGCAGCTCCACACAGCTTGGACATATATTGTAACTTTAAAAAAGTAAAAGCCGTAAAATAAGGCAATTTCCTATAAGACTGTACATGATTTTCTAAATAGATTAAAACACATAAATATCGATAATATAAGCGAATTCCTAATTTAACCATGCAGCCACTCTATTCTAGGGTATCAGTAGTTCATTTGGCTCAATATAATGCAAAGCAGCAAAAGTTATTTAATATAAAAAAGCGCCTTTCCATACGATTTCTGGGTACGTTTTTTTTCCATTGATAACCACAATATCTTTTATTTTTCTACTTTTTGAGGACAAAAACTATACAAATCCAGCAATTTTAAATATTAATATTGTTCTGAAAACACCAAGTTCTTTAAAAATCGCGGTAAAACGAATTACTAAAATGGAGTATTTTAGATACTATTTCCCAACGAATAGTAGTATAAAAATTAAGATCGGCAGCACTGAAAATAAGCATGCCGATATTGTCAAAATCACAACAAACACGTCGCTACTGACAACACCTTGTTATTATTGCACCATGTGTTCTTCTATCTTGGAGAGCAACTGAGAAAATTTCTGAACGGTTTTGAGTTGTGAACCCAACTTTAACTTTAGTTCAGAACTAGAACGATGAATCCGCATTTGATTATTTCTTAAGGTTGAGTAACTGCTCGAAAGGTTCAATGGTAATTGCATTTAATGTGAAATAGGCATTAACACATTTTTGAACATCGACCGATTTACATAAATTATATATATAGTAGACCTCTGAGAAGCTTAATCAACATTTTGGCGACGTACGAAAACACCGAGCGAATGCGAAGGCCAACAAAGGAATCTGCGTGGCAACAAACACGGCGTGTCAAACAAACTCACCACCGCATGACCGTGACGTAGACGTTGCTCTCTCTCCCTTTCTATCAAGAGTGCACTTGATATCTTTGTACGTACTTCTACGCTACGCTACGTACACGTTCGTGGGTAACCGCGCTCTTGATGTATCTACATACATGCAAATTTTTAGGTACATTCGTACCGTAATTAAGTACAAATTGATTTTCCATCCCTGATGCAGAGATTAAAAATTAGCAGACTTGGCAGCACTTTATTCCTTCAGAGACAGGCAACCCCAATTTTCTTTTTGCACTTTTCTGTGTATCCTTCTCGTTCCATCATTCTCTTATTCATTTCGAATTAACGGAATGCTGCTCATTGTTTTTGTTTCCTCGTTTTCTATTTCATGCCTAGCAGAAAGGCTGTTGCAGGGGAATTCGTGGATTCTGCTATCTGCACAAACAATAACAAAAAAAAAACATCTGCGGCTTTCGAATTGACCAAACTCAAGAAAAATTACATGAAAAGAAATTGTGTAGATGCGTTTGCACATATAGTGAGAATTGGAGAAGTGTGAAGGAAAAAACGAAAAATCATATTGCGGAAAATCATAGGAAAGCAAAATACAGAGAAAAATCAAGATGTCGGCTTACCGTTTCTTTTAACTCCACCCTTTCACGTTTTTGTTGTTAATTTTCCGCTAGACGTAAAAACCAAACGGACTGCTTTGCTATGTATATGCTTGCGATGAACAGCTGCTTTTGCTCAACCGTCCTTGTAATTTGACTGGACCAATTTTGTTTCACTTCTATGAGCCCTTTGCAAATTATATCTTGGCACAGCGTGGGTTTATGCAGATTATGCTATTAAGTTCACTAATATTTTGCACAATATTCAAAACGACACCAAATGCACTTCATTGGACGCACATACTTTTCCCAATTTCTTGGTGCAATTGCCACAAATTTTCACACATACAAACTATGCGACGGTGAAATACTGCAGCGGCGTAACAAACTTCGATTTTTCACCAAACAAAAAACTGCCGTTTTCAACGGCACACACACGCGCGCACAAATGTACACACGATTGGAAAAATCCGCAGAGGCGTAGCAGTGCAAATGTAAAAATTTGTATAAAAATCGAACGATTCACGCGACGCCTTCCAAATATTTGTATTTTTCGCTTTTTACAAAGAAATTTTCAACGCAGATTTTTTACCAGAACTTTAGCTTGTTGTTTTGCCTTTTAATGTTATTTTCAAAACGTTTTCACATACTAAAAATAATGAAAAAGTTGTAATTGTACGACGACAAAAAACCCACGTCCATCTTGTATTACTCAGTTTTATTCAATAAAAGATTTTCTCATACTGCAATCAAAAAGAATTGGCAGCACTGCGGTGGCATGGTTGCTTTAAAAAGTAGTCAAAGGTTGGTTTCTGTGAAATAGATCAAGGACGACTGATTTTTTGAAAGTTTTAAGGAGATAAACTACAGGAGATAGTGCGGAAAGAACAAATATGAAAACATATTAATTCAGAGGTGGCGAAAAATCGGTTTTGTAATGAATTTTTAAATGTTTAAGCAAGTATATTATAAACTCTGGCCACTCTAGTGCAATTAGAGTGAAACTTTGCAGTACTCCTGAAGTTGAAATTGTGCTGCCAGATTTCTGTATAGAATTTAAATATGGAGGATAGAAAGTATTTCCGGCGATATATATTGCTGACGCATTTTTTTAGATTTTTCCATTCCTTTTTATAAAAAACATGGCGTGGCTATAGATAAAGGAGATCTAGTGTTGAAATAGTATTGAAAATGGCATATATCTATTGCTGCCGCAAAGAAAATTAGATATTGAATAGCAATATGGATGAGAATACTTTATTAAATTTTTCGGAATTTCTTAAAGCTCAGTTAGTCTAGACTTAACTTCATTTAACTTACCATAAGAAATCATCAATGATTACTAAACACGTCAACTTAAGCCAAGAGCGGAAATATTTTGTTTTTGTGTTTTCTTATTCAACTGTTTAACAGTTCGCCGCCTAAGATGTCACAGCAAACAAAATGGCAAGCCTGACTCACCGCTCCCAATTTCCGTAAGGCCGTAACTTAAGAGCGCAGTTACCCACGAACGTGTACGTAGCGTAGCGTAGTAGTACGTAGAAAGATATCAAGTGTGCTGTTGAAAGAAAGAGAGAGAAGCAATGTGTACGTCACGTCCTGCGGTGGTGAGTTTTTGTTAACACGCAGATCCCATAAGATAGATCGTATCAGCTGACACGTTCTCCGTTTTTACGTCCGTGGGTAACTGCGCTGATATTAGTCAAGAACGTAAACCTACCAGTACGTATACCCGTTGCGCAGAAATCTGCGGAATTTAGATTTTTCCGTCTCAGATGATTTCTTCCTTCTATAGACGGTTGCTACTTCGTCGGTTTTGGAGATGGTAAAAAAGTTATAATTTCCTATTCAAAATACGTTTAAAATATTTGAAATTTACTATTGAATAAGGTTTTTTGTTGAAAACTAAGTAGTTTATATTTAGCTACGATCTATTATAGCACGAAAAATTGTAGTTGAAAAGGTAAGTTTATGAAAAGGCATTGATAAATGGCAACACTGTAGTAAGCAACACTGAGGGCTCCAGTAATCGACAAAATTCTACGTATACAGACTGCGTTTAAGTATACGTTCTGCGTTCTTGACTAATTTCAGCTTAAGAATCTAAAATCTACAGGTTCTTAAGTTGCTTACGGTAAGTTAAGTTTTAACTAACCGCCAACACAATTTCTCAAATAACAAGTTGGCCAAGATATTAAGTTAAGCTACTGACATTATGTCTAGACTAACTGAGCTTTTAATGCTCCATACAAATGAATTACTTGTTCCTTTTTCAAAGCAGGATCTGATCAAATCAGGTATAGTAGCTGCGGTTCACTTACACATCCGGCGATAACAAAGAGGAAATTAACCTTTTCATAATAATTCATCTATCACGGCGGGTCTAAAGAAGCGAGCTATATCGGTTCAAGGTACTGACACTACAGTCACCTAAACTCGTACCGAGCATATGACCCCCTTATGAACCTTCCCAATTAAATCCACTCAACTAACACCCCTCTCCGTTTGGTCCGACAATATAACACATTGCCTGGGCCTACCGTTCATTGAGCTTTACGACAACGATTGATATGAACCTACATCATCGGAATAAATGGGAAGAGCATATGAAGGCTTGTCACTTCACCTCTGGTGTAAGCAAGCTTTGGTCAAACGAGAGGCCGCTGTCCAACCCGACGAAACGTGCCCCCAGAGTCGAAATCTCGTTCGCCGTCCGCACCTCGTCGGACCCGGAACAACTTTAGCCGGCAATTTACGCTGCTTCCTCCGACGTACAAAGCCAAACGTCTAGTGACCAGAAGGCTACACAAACTGCAAACACTTAGTGGGCCTTTGTTTTCACCAGCGGCGAGATTCAAGATAGCCATAGGAAAGGCGAAATCCTCCAAAGCCATATGACCCAATGGAACATGCATGCTGATGCCGAAAAATTTGCGTCCTGTGGGAGTAGACTACCTTACCAAGGTCATCAACCTGTCTATGGCCACTCTTATCATTCCGGACATCTGGAAAATGCGGAGAGTGGCCCACTGCTTAGACCAGGGAGTCTTATTGTCCGATAACCCTCCTTTCCCGGTAGCGAAGATACTTGAGGCCTTGCTACTCCGACGCTATACGAACCACCTGTGCCCAGCGAGGCATCAACATGGGTTCCGTAGAATTAACAGCACAACAACAGCACTAAACGCCATAAACACTCAGATAACTCGTGTCCTAAACCGACACCGCTACTGTGAGAGAACAGTTCTAGTAGCGTTGGATCTGCCAAAGCATTTGATACCCTCAGCCACTCCACGCTACTAGACGACATTGAAGCGTCCTCTCTCCCACAAGGGCCCAAACGGTGCTCAGCGAAGTATCTGTCGACATTCGACAAAACCGGCAAGTCAAGAAAAATTAAACAGAGGGTCCCGAAGGGTGGTCGCCTTTTCTCCGATACTGTTTAACTATTATATTTCAAAGCTCCCTCAACCACCAGAGGGAGTCTTGATTGTGTTTTGTGCTGAAGACTGCTTGATAATAGTGTCTGGAAATGGAATGGATCGAAAGTAAACGGGTACCCCTCCGAACCCTCTCCCCTTCAAAGTCCTCGGAAACCATTTTAACCACCTGGCTGAAGGAGGTCAGACTACAGCTGAGAATTCACGTCGATGACGTTCGAATTCCGACTGTGAATAACCCAAAAAATCACGGAGTTAGCATCGATAATCTCCTCTCCTTCTCGGCGCATACAACCGCAATTATCAATCGAGTACAGAGCCACACAAAATGCCCTCAAGTCGCTAGCTGGCAGCACCATGGGCAAATACAAAGAAACGTTGCTGGTTGCACCAGGGGTAAATAGAAAGATACGTTGCTGGAAACATACAAGGCAACTGGCCGTCCGCTTCTAAACTACGCAGCGTCTATATGAGCGCCGGGGACTATTAGGGCGCAGTGGACGAAGCTACATACCTTACAAAACGCGGCCACCGGATGGGTGTCACCGGCGTGGGCACCAGAACAGACATCTGCTTGCGGCGGTGCCCTCGCCAGTGCACGTCGAACTGACGGACGAAGTCCAGACATTCATAAAGCAAAATCTGGTCATGACAGCATATCAACAGTCATTTAGAACACAACCACCTAACGTGGATGAGACAGAGCTTCGCCTGACTCGGGAGACTCGAACCACAATAGCCCAACTTCGCTCTGCCTACTGTAGTAGGATGAACTCGTACCAGAGCATATTAGATGCAGATGTGCCAACCGAGTGTCCGGCATGCGGGGGTACACCCCACGACTCGAGACATCGATTCGCGTGCCCTGTAAACCCTCTCACCAGACACCTCTGTCATACGGAAAAACCCAATTGAAGTTGCACGCTTTATAGGCCTCCCGCTAGTTGAGCTTGACGCCAAGATGGAGGGACAAGCCGATTTAGACAGGGTTGAGTAGCTGCTAAAATAACAACAACAAGAACGATTGATAGACAGGGCAGGACATCGCGGAGATAAATGATTACTTTCAAACGTAGCTCATCATCAATGTCCCTGTCGAGGACAACACTCTGTGAGATCTCCTGTTTAATTTTCCTTATTTTTGGTGTTTGCTCTCGAAAAATACCTACTATTGCAGACCATTTAGATAATACGTCTTCCATCCTTTGACCGTCTGTTAGAGCGAGGAGGCCTAGATGAGCTTCCTCTTTGTTGGGTGGTTCCTCTGGCTTCAGTAGAGCGATTTCATGAACCCTGGAAGAAATGTTATCTTAATTCGTAAGGTTGTACAACTAAGTTTATCAAAACTCATTCACTTAGGAAGCCTTCAGGACCCCTTGAATTGGTCATGCTCCTTCGTCGGAAAACTTGCAATCCCACCAAGCGTACGAAAGGGACGAAGCGAACTGATGCAGAAGTGACCACCATGTAGAACTTATGTTCAATAACATGGACGGCAATTGGTGCGTAAAGAGCGACGAAGAAGCTCTCGATAACTTCGGCTGAGTCTTTGCTATCAGCTTTTGTTGAATATAATGTGGGAGTAGGGATTTAAGGAAGCAAAGTCGACGGGTTTTTCAATCGAGATGATTATGTGTAGGTTGTGCTAACGATATACTAAGTTGCCACATTATGCCATTTATCAGACTAGCGCAAGATATTACTGAGGGAGCAAAAGGTCGAAGCATCTCTCTGCTCAACCAATAAAGTTCCGCTACAATTGCTGACAAGTTTGGACGTCAAAAATCGTGGTGAACATTAAAGACACCCTGTGCCATGGTATTCACTTCTGAGGCTCGAATTGGAGTTTAATGGAGTCTTCTCTTGCGTACACATCTGAAATACGTATCTGGTCTGGTGTTTAACTCGTCTCCAGAACAAGACGTAAGAGCACGGAGCAACCTTACTGCGAGGTATTGCGACTGGATGTTTTCGCCGGTCTAAATTGGTTAGATCGCCAAAACAATTCGTTTTCCATATTCAGCAAGAACTGCCGTTCTATGGAACATTTTCGAAAGTTAAAGACAAATACTGGATTTGCGGCTATGTACAAATTAATCCAAAAGCGAATTGACTTAAAGATATTTGTCAAAAAGGATTTTAATTGAATTAAAACACAATTTGTATGAAATATAAAAATACACATAGGAGTGTACATATGTGTGTATTATAAAATGCAACTTCTCTAATTGAGAGTTTTTAAATCTATATTTAATATATACTTGTATTTC